TTTAAAAAAAAAAATAAAAATTTAAATTAAAAAAAAAAAAAAAAAAAAAAAAAAAAGTGAAATACAAAAAATAAAAGTATATTTAACCACTCTTTAAAGAAATCAAACAAAATAAATTTAAATAAATGTATAAAAATATACATTATTATTTTGTATCAATAATATGGAAAAATAAAAGAATATCATGTTTTAAATTATTTAAAAAAAAAATTCGTTTTCATGTATATATTTTTTTTTAAATTATTATAGGCAATCTTAAAACGACAGAAGCAGTAAAAAAAAAAAAAAAAAAAAAATAAATAAATAAAATAAATAAAATAATTAAAACGATTAAATTGAGAAAATTACTAAATAATTAACTAATTTATAAAAAGTTTTATATATAAAAAAAAAAAAAAAAAGAAATTTTTTTTTTGAAAAAGCTTTCATTTTAGAAAAATTTTTATAGTATATTTGAAAAATGTAAAAATATTTACTTATATATATAAATAATCCTTTGAGTAATTAAAAATGAAAAGTAATAAAAATAATAAAGATAATGAAAATAATGTAAATAAAAAGAGTGATCAATTGGGTTTAGAAGGAAATGATGAAAATAGTATTATTCCTTATTATTTATCAAATTTATTAACAAATGCATCAAACCCAGTTGTATTTATGGATGTAAATTTAGGTAACCACCTTTTAGGAAGATTTAAATTTGAATTGTTTCAAAATATTGTTCCCAAAACAAGTGAAAATTTTAGGCAATTTTGCACAGGTGAATTTAAAATAAATAATTTGCCTGTTGGTTATAAAAATACTACATTTCATAGAGTAATAAAAGAATTTATGATTCAAGGGGGAGATTTTGTAAATTATAATGGTAGTGGGAGTTTAAGTATATATGGAGAAAATTTTGAAGACGAAAATTTTGATATAAAACATGATAAGGAAGGATTATTAAGTATGGCTAATAGTGGCCCTAATACAAATGGTTGTCAATTTTTTATTATTACAAAAAAATGTGAATGGTTAGATGGAAAAAATGTTGTTTTTGGTAGAATTATAGATAACGATTCTTTGATTTTACTTAAAAAAATAGAAAATGTTTCCGTTACCCCATATATTTATAAACCTAAAATTCCTATTAATATTGTAGAATGTGGAGAACTATGAAAAAAAATACACAAATGAGGTTTTACAAAAAAAATTAAAGATATTAAAAGATTTTCTTAAAACATAAAGAGAAGAAAATACNTCAGGGTTCAGGGTTCAGGGTTTAGGTTTAGGGTTCAGGGTTTAGGGTTCAGGGTTTAGGGTTCA